CAGTAGGCCAATTCTGCTAATGTTTAATATTATCTGTGCAACGTCTTCCTCACAAATCAGTTCTAACAGATATTAACAGATTTGGCCTGCTAGATTATACATCATACGCGGGTGACATAAGCTATAATAATTTACGTAAGTAGAGTCGCGGGAAAACAACTAGTATAATATTATATAATTAACCAAATATTTAACGAATTATATCGATATTAGAAAACTAGCTGTCAACCGCGGCTTCTATGTGCACGCTGGCCTTCTATACTGGAGTTTTAAGCTAATCTTAATTAAAAATCTGCAAGTAAATTATCAAAGTCCCCACTGCTGGTGCTTGTTTGTTGTCTTCTTTCCATTTTAGTGCGCAGTAGGGTTTATTCCGTTTATCCACCCTGAAACAGCCACCCTAAGGTTGATATTCTCAAACGCGTGTCCATCTATCCGCCCTGAACGGGGTGGAATGATGGAAGTCATTTTTGAATGTTCTTCCGATTTTTACCCCAACTGCATTGGAATAAAATTACACAAAAGCTTCTATCGCTTATTTATAATAATCACATTTTCATTAAACAAAATAAATCATTTCTTATTTATCGAAAGTATCTTGGGCTGGGTTTATACGTTTTTTAAATGACTGTACACAGGCGGGGGAGAAAATCGGAAGTAGAATTATGATGTGGATTCCTGTTATCCATACTGTTCAGGGTGGATAGATAAACACGCATTTCCGAGTATCCACCTTAAGTTGGCTATTTAAGGGTGGATAAACGGAATAAGCCCGCATTAGAATCGACAAGCCTTACAGAATGCAAACAAATGTTTTCTTGGATATTCTGTTAGTGAATAGTCCTTTTATTGAAGTTGTTTAATAATTATTATAATAACGCCATCATTTTGCTTGGATATAGATATTTGACTACTGTGCTTTCATTCAACCTAATACATTGCTTGTGCAAGATTATACGATTGATCCTCATAGCAACTTGACGGTCAGTTTGTCCTTGCTTTCTCAGTACAACTTTTTCAGAGATTTTAGTGATAAAAGGAAGTGATCTACAAAATATTTGGAGTTTTAATGTGCAGTTAAGGCTATCTATTATGCCCAGCAATGAGATAAATATGGACTGAAGACAGTGAATTGCTTGTAAATACTTTTCCTAATTTATTATTGTGTAAATGTAGCAGTTAGCCCTCCAACTGAATGAACTCCAACATATTCTTTATTGTACACACGGCTGCTTGTCAGGTTTCTACAATATGACATTTTTTTAATGGAGGTTCTACGCTAATATATTACCTAAGATTTTGAATCGAGTAGAGAAATACAGTTTTGTATAGACCGGCGTGCTGTTCACTGTACATAAGCAATAATAAATTAGATAAGAGTGATACAAAAAACAGATAGTAACTCCCATTATATATTTATAAATTTTCCCTAAAAAACAGTAGGTATAATTATAAAATCTCGGTGACAGGATCCTTAAAAAATGATGTTATTTTCTCATTTTAATAACATTGTTTGGACGTTATTTCTTAGTACAAAACAAATTAAAGAAAATTGTTTGACTGTAACTATATCCGCTACAAGTTATAACTTTATCTTCACTTGATTTTAAACCTTAACTCGTTGATGGTAGATTTCCAGTCAATTTAGGAAATTTGCCATATTGTGGTAATTTGAAGTTGTATTGCCTGTATGTGTGAAAACAATAGGTACATATCATCAAATTTTTATTATTAAAAAAATGGCCGCACTCTATAACGTAGTCGTTAGTGCGCTCGCTTTTCCGATACCGTTGTTAAGTAACTTTCCCAAGAGCCGGTTATAAGATGGGTGACCAAAAATTTTTTATTACAAACTCCTCCGTGCCTTGGAAAGCACTTAAAGTCGTTTGTCCCGGCTGCATCTGCAGTGGTTAACACTTACCAATCCGCATATGGCCCGCGTGGTATGGCCTATTTTCCCTTTCGGTTCGATTCGATTCCATCTAAAAGGAAATCCAGAGCCCCAGCAGTGGGAATTTGAATAGGCTGGTGATGAAAAGTCTATCAATTTTCATTCCCAGACTTTACTAAGTCTGGTTATTTCATAACTTCAAAAAACAGTAGTATATGGCTTAATTTTGTTCCCGAAATAAATCGTCTTAACAGACAAACAACAAATAATCCTATAAGGAGTCCATAAGTATTACGTTTGTTTCCTTTTGACAGAATCCTAAACAGAAGTCTCAAATCGAAGTTCACAACCTTATTTGCTCCTCCATCCCCCAAAACCAGAAAAGCCATGCTAACATGTTATTATTTTTTATAACTTAGAGGACTTATTTCTTTGTTCATTAACATAGTATATCATATATGGCAATGAAATCAAATCAAAATTGTTTATTCAGTTAAGGCTTTTACAGAGCACTTGTGAAAGTTGAAAATTACGCCATCGATTCGCAAAACTATGGCGGGAGACCTTGTACTGAGAAGAACCGGCAAGAAAATTAGCAAGGGCTGTTTTTTTCCTCCTGTTTTATTTCACACAGAGAATTTATACTTTAAATAAAAACTTTAATCAATAAGTAAGAAAATTAGCGAGAATGTTTTGTTAAACAACTTTAAATCGTTATATATCCAAAAATATTATTTAAAATGAAAAATGATAAAAGGAACCTAAAGATGATTTTAAAATACCCATTCAACGACACCCCACTTGACATAGTTCATCGATTTTTATTTTTTCATTTAGACAATATGGCGTCTGGTTGTCGCTGTGGTGAATTTTGATTACTGTCATGTCTTTAGTGACACTCGCAAGGTTAGGACGAATCGATTGACGTAAGAATCATCAAAATTGGCCTACGCATTTGGTCTCTAGAACGCCACATAGAAATAATCATACATACATACATACATAGACTGATAAACACATTACCCTCCTTTGCGTCGCGCAGTCGGGTAACAAGATACCCAGCGATGTATTAGATTTGCCAATAAATCATTTTAAAAATCGTATTAAAAATTGTCTACAAAGTAAAGGATATTATACCGTTAAGGAATATCTAAATGACAAAAAGGCATGGCGTTAGATATTTTAACTTTATTGTATTTGACTTTCTAATATTGTAATGGAAAGTGACTCCATATTCTAATGAAGTCACTTTTCAATAAGATTTCTCTGTGTGAAATAATACAGGGAGAAAAAAACAGCCCTTGCTAATTTTCTTGCTGGTTCTTCTCAGTACAAGGTCTCCCGCCGTAGTTTTGCGAATCGGTGGCGTAATTTTCGACTTTCACAAGTGCTCTGTAAAAGCCTTAACTGAATAAACAATTTTGATTTGATTTGATTGCCATATATGATATACTATGCTAATGAACAAAGAAATAAGTCCTTTAAGTTATAAAAAATAATAACATGTGAGCATGGCTTTTCTGGTTTTGGGGTGATGGAGGAGCAAATAAGGTCGTGAACTTCGATTTGAGACTTCTGTTTAGGATTCTGTCAAAAGGAAACAAACGTAATACTTATGGACTCCTTATAGGATTACTTGTTGTTTATCGTTAAGACGATATATTTCGGGAACAAAATTAAGCCATATACTACTGTTTTTTGAAGTTATGAAATAACCAGACTTAGTAAAGTCTGGGAATGAAAATTGATAGACTTTTCATCACCAGCCTATTCAAATTCCCACTGCTGGGGCTCTGGATTTCCTTTTAGATGGAATCGAATCGAACCGAAAGGGAAAATAGGCCATACCACGCGGGCCCTGTGCGGATTGGTAAGTGTTAACCACTGCAGATGCAGCCGGGACAAACGGCTTAAAGTACTTTCCAAGGGAGGAGAGGAGTTTGTAATAAAAATTTTTGGTCACCCATCTTATAACCGGCTCTTGGGAAAGTTACTTAACAACGGCATCGGAAAAGCGAGCGCACTAACGACTACGTTATCGAGTGCGGCCATTTTTTAATAATAAAAATTTGATGATATGTACCTATTGTTTTCATACATACAGGCAATATAACTTCAAATTACCACAATATGGCAAATTTCCTAAATTGACTGGAAATCTACCATCAACGAGTTAAGGTTTAAATCAAGTGAAGATAAAGTTATAACTTGTAGCGGATATAGTTACAGTTAAACAATTTTCTTTAATTTGTTTTGTACTAAGAAATAACGTCCAAACAATGTTATTAAAATGAGAAAATAACATCATTTTTTAAGGATCCTGTCACCGAGATTTTATAATTATACCTACTGTTTTTTAGGGAAAATTTATAAATATATAATGGGAGTTACTATCTGTTTTTTGTATCACTCTTATCTAATTTATTATTGCTTATGTACAGTGAACAGCACGCCGGTCTATACAAAACTGTATTTCTCTACTCGATTCAAAATCTTAGGTAATATATTAGCGTAGAACCTCCATTAAAAAAATGTCATATTGTAGAAACCTGACAAGCAGCCGTGTGTACAATAAAGAATATGTTGGAGTTCATTCAGTTGGAGGGCTAACTGCTACATTTACACAATAATGAATTAGGAAAAGTATTTACAAGCAATTCACTGTCTTCAGTCCATATTTATCTCATTGCTGGGCATAATAGATAGCCTTAACTGCACATTAAAACTCCAAATAATTTGTAGATCACTTCAACATCTCTTTCAGGCAATATTATATATTTCCATGTAAAATAATAGCTTTGGAAATATATTGCTTAAAATGGGTAGTATATAAAACAATCGTAAAAGATTTGTATTTCGAATCACGAAACTTTTTTAATGCAATACCTAATTATATGCACGTTAAAAGGTAATCTAAAATCAAACAGGAAAGGTCTTTCAATCTTATTTGTTTCCGTAGCTGAAACAATTCTCAGAGGATATGCGTTATATCAAATATTGGTATTACCTATAACTTTTATTGTTAAACGATAGAGCAAAATTAGTTGTAAGCGACAAGGCTCCAACGATTCGTGGTGAGAGCTCGCCATACAAAGTGGCGTCCCCTTAAGCCCTACAGCTTCGGCGGCCATTTGTTCAGCACTAGGCTTTACGAGGTGGTCGGCGTCCGGGTTAGGCGAATAGGGGTAGAGGCGGCGGCGGCGGCGGCGGCGGCGGCGCGGCGCAGTGCGGCGCTATCGAGCGGCAGGCGGGCGGGGGCTAGTGGCGCGGGACGGGTGGTAGAAGCGGCGAGGGGCGGGCGGGCGCGGCACGCGGCAGTGTGCTCGGAGCCCCCGGGAGCGCGGCATGGGTGGCGCGCTGCTGCTGGCGCTGCTGGCGGCGGCGCGGGCCAGCGAGCCCAACGCCACCGAGGCGCTCGACCCTTCACCCTCGCCGCCCCCAGACGACAAACCCGCGCCGCTCTTCCCCGTCGATCTCTTCTCGGATGACGAGCGGCGGTCGGGCGCCGTCCTCCTCCACGTGATCGGCATGGGCTACATGTTCGTCGCTCTCGCTATAGTATGCGATGAGTTCTTTGTGCCCTCGCTGGACGTTATCATAGAACGGCTCGCGATCCGCGACGACGTCGCCGGCGCCACGTTCATGGCGGCGGGCGGCTCCGCACCGGAGTTGTTCACCTCTATAATAGGGGTGTTTGTATCGTTCGACGACGTAGGGATCGGTACTATCGTCGGCTCGGCTGTCTTCAATATCCTGTTCGTGATCGGTGCGTGCGCGCTGTTCTCGCGCACGACTCTAACACTGACTTGGTGGCCGTTGTTTCGCGACTGTACATTTTATTCGATCAGTCTAATAGTGTTGATATACTGTTTTCAAGACAGCCTGATCTACTGGCAGGAAGCTTTGGTGCTGTTCTCGTTGTATGGCGCATACGTGATGTTCATGAGGTGGAACCAGCCCGTGGAGCGGACGGTGAAGAAGCTCATCTACAAGAATAAGGTGACCAGAGTCCGCAGCACTGACCAGTTGATGCCGACGGTGAGCTCGCCCGCAGATGCCTCGCATGCCCCTAAAACAAAGCGAACAGATGCGATTTGGGTCGATTTCGCACCTTTTGTATTATATTACAAATTTTACTTACGTTACTTACGAAATGTTATAAGATTACTCGGAAAATTTATCAGTGTTTCGATCGCTTACAATAAAGCAATCACTTTGCATCTATTCATTTTGTATTCCTATACCTCTTACGCGTATGTGTAGTGGGCGCAGACTTGATTTTCAGGCTATAATAAACAAACAAACTACCGTATCACTTGCTCATTTAAAAAAATATAGTAAATTTGTCAAACAACGTTGCTTTTATTGAATTTTAACCATACAGTATCGTTAAGATTTAAGTATTTTGATTGGTCATCTGTGTTTACGTATATATAATAGTAGTACTACACAAGCATAGTTTGAGAAACAAGTCTGACATTATTGAAGTTTCCATTCTACATTACTCCTTGACCTAAATCTGTGCAGTTAATTCTTAGAAACTATCTACAAATAATATGATTGGTCTTTAGCAAATGAATAGTTTCTAGAATAATGCATTTATCGTTTAGAAACTAGAATGAAATTATAAAAAAGTCATAATAATCTGTTATGTTAATTATTCTTATAGTTTTTGTGTGGCTTGTTCCTTTTAATACCTGGTTAAAAAATCGACATCAATAAATGTACCTATTCGAACTATCTTTCAAATAGTAACACATTCATTACAGACGGTTCTACCGTTTTGGAAAATTTCTTTCTTATATAAATAAACAACTCTACAGTACGTAGATAAGTAACAGTGTAAATATATGCGTGAAATCCAGTATAATTAGCATTTATAAATATCAGTATATGATGAATGAATTTTCATTTACAAAAGTCAGTCTGTTAATATATTTTTTTCTCTTTATGCATTAATAATATTCTTATTGTAAAACTCGCAGTGCTATTCTATTATACAAACCGCCTCCAACTCAAAATTCGAACGCAGCGTTATCATAGTATAGATGTTCGACCAAATAAAACCGCTTCAAATGGTAATAAAGGTTTTATTTAATTGAAAGGCGTCGAATTCAAAGCAATTTTTTTTATATTAGCAAAGTTTTACATTCAAATGATAGTGACAAATAAATAAAGCATGATTTACACTTGCGTTGTATATATTGTAGTTCTATTTTACCTAGTTGTAGGTTGTAGTTGTAGATGATTAGTGAGTAGAAGTGACTTAATACTAAAATCAGTATCAGGTAGTTGTGATGACTACATAAAAATAGTTAAAAAATAATGAACTAAAATAATGAAACCTTTGATTTCAATAGACAGTGTAAATGTTATCGTTTAGTATATTTCTTAAAGACAACATCATTTACACTTGTTGAATGAATAATTTAATAAGAAGAAGAATCACTAAACCTCTTTTAGTGATTCTAATTTATTTCGTCTGACTAGATTATACCATATCTCCTTTTAGATCAAACTAGAAATATTGCACACCGTGTTACATCAAAATGTCATTTTTCCATAATCTGTTTTAAACTTAACTGTCAATAGATTTTTAGGACTTAAAATAGATTGGAGAAATTTGTCAGTGTATATAATTTGACGGGTAGTTCCGTATTCATTTTATAACGTCTCATCCCACTTTTTTGCTTTATTGCTATAAATATTTTTCTTAATCCTGAAACAAATGTTTCAAAAAAGTATGGATAGCACAACTTTTAATGTTTTTGGAAAATTATCATATATACCAACTAGTTTTTTAAAAGTATTAGTACCTACATGTTTTATTAAATATATACTCATATAATTATCATCAACCTATTAAAGTTTCGACTGCTGGGGCAGAAAACTTCCTAATGGATGCAATCCAATCAAGTTGAATAGTGAGAATGAGATATAACCCACCCTTGGTAATTAAATATTATAAGAAACTTGCACTTGCAACAAACAGACATGAAATGAGATATCGATTCAGCGAGTATTAATTCTCTCTTCTACACCCACGACTTTTAAAAGAGATGACTCGAGGATATATTTTTTTATATTTGTTATTTATTTTAAAATGTAGTTTTATTAAGATTAATGTAAGTAATGTTCAGTAAAATATTAACAGGACTCGAAGATATCAAACTAAATTAATTTAGAATGCAATCAATACAATCATTAAAATAATGGCCACGACTGCACGGAACAGATATTTACCTGGGCATTAATAGATCAATTTTCTTTTTAAAAATAGATCACTGCCGATTTTCGGTTAGCCTGTTTTTATTCTACAACTCGGGCGCAAAGCGCTTTAATATTGTAATATTATTTCTAATTATTATTAATCTAAATAAATGCTGCCAATGAAAAATGTCACATTCCAAGTACCCTACTAAAGACATTTTTTTACACATAATTACCTGTATGTTTTTGTCTAAACAAATCAGTAAGTAACACGGTAATGAAAGTAGATTTGTTAAAATAAACAAAAATTAACTAAGATAAAAAAAGATAATTGGAAAATTTGGTTCAGACCTTACAAAGAAAAATATTTTTTAGGTGATTTAAAAAAGTATGAGCTAGGAATACAGATGGGATGAATAAGGAATTTAAAATGAATTAAATTGTTGCGGGCTGAGTAAAGAACATCAATAGGATGAGTAAGGCAAAAATAATGTGTAGAATGAGACGTCTTAGAATGAATACGGAACAATCCAATTTGACCTGCTGTTTATTCTACTAAAATTCAATAACTATCCACTTTTACAGCGTGCTTTAAAAAACTAAGTAAAACGTTTGCCTTTTTCAATATTATTTATATTCATTTTAATATTATTATATTTCTAAAAACAAAGTTATTTATATTTTCAAACTGTATAATAAGCAAATAAAGCTAAGTTATTCTAAACTAAATGAAGCAAGTCGTAATATCATGAATAAGAATATTTGTTCTGGCTGCATTACTTGCAGTTTTTACGGTAGCTAAGTAAAAATAATTGACTATGCGGGCACGAAATTTTACCTATTAAATTTAACCTGCAAAGCTGAATCTGAGTATTGTAGAAAACTTTTATTATTAGGGAATTTACATAAAGATTTTTGGATTTTTAAGATGTGATTCCAGATTTTTCAATTCAATACATTTTAATTATTATTATATAATGTTTTTAATTTCGATTACAATAACATTTTATTTAACATGTTTTTTTATTTAACATTCAAATACTTGCCGACCGATTTTAAAATATTTGTCTTCCATCAAACGTATTATTATTAAATAGATGTAGCTTTGACACTTTCAACTATTTAATTTTTAGATTAAAAATTATTCACAGAACGATGCCTCGAATGCAATGAGAGTTTCGCTAAGCCAATACACTTGTTTCTTTTGGTTTTAGTTCGATTTTGGAAGTCGTGTCTTTTTTAATTTTTAGAATGTACTTATAAAGGCCCTTAATTTAATTATATATATTTTTTGTATTTTACACAGAAACAATATTTTAAATATACAATACTTATAGTTTACTTTTATCAACTTTTCTGTCTCATCACAGTCAATTTTAACATATTAAAAAAATATATGGATTTGTTGTGCAAACACAGCTATACAAGAAAGAGGGTTTATTTCGATTGAACTTCTAACGATATTACAGTATATTACTACCAAAGCTCGAGGAGAAAGAAATAAATTGACGTCAATGTCATTTTTTTGCGAATTACACAGAAATTAAATCCAGAAGTAAAAAAGATAAAAAAAAATGATTATTAACTAGTAGAAAACCAAAGAATAAAGTTACATCTGCGTAAACTCTAATTTTTAAGACAGTTATTTAATATTTTATGTAAACAAAAGGCGTCTTATTTATAAAAAGAAATTGAGAAACTCTTACCAGTTACAATTACAAAACTTTTTAAAGTTTGACCATCAAAATTTAGGCTTCTAGTTTACTCCGCAGTATAGTTACAGGGGGTCAAAAATGGCCCGAGTGGCTTCGAGACTTGGTACAGCCCTGCCCTTTTTAGTTTTTAGCTCGACTTAGCGGAAGCACTACTGTGTCCCCAGATTTAAATTTTCAATATTTACATAAGTCAAGTCATTGAAAATCTGTGAAACAAAATGTAATATATTGACATTTGATTAGGCAGTTTGCTTTTTATCGATAATGGCATTTTTAAAAGAAAAAGTTACATCACAATTTTTTAATTAAATAAATGAAAGTATTGCTCCAATAATACAGAATAATACCCAACGGCAAAAATAATGTCCACAATATATTGGATATGCCAAAGCAAATTCAATGACTAATGATTGTAGCGACTACAGCTGGCTACGACGTAGCTCACTGCGTAGTCTGTGGTCGTAACATTCTCCCAAATAGTTAAACGTTACACTTCTATTAATTTTAATAGTAGTCACTGGACTTCTTAATTGATGTTTGTATCTAGGTACTTTATTTTAATGCTCAATAATTTGTCTATATTTGAAAAATGGTTGAATATTGATTTTTTACATTGAGTAAATAAAATTAGCTAAATTATACACTATCACTATGAATTAATAGGTATATATGCACTTTATGTAGGTTTATAATAAGTAAAAACATGAAACTATAAAAGAATAACAGACATTTTAAAATCTTGTCTAGAAAATTCTGTAGTTTTGTAAAATAAATATGATTTGTATCATTGTAAATCTAAATGCAACTTACTGATAATCATAAAAATAATTCAAAATTTAAGTTTACCATTTTTTTTAAACGTCCTGATATATTTGTACATTTTGAAAGCTCGTTATATCAGTGATAGACCATGAAGAAAGCAGTTCTATTCATAGAATAGGTAAAAACTCGTTCGTGCCTCGGAAAACAATTTAAGTCTTTGCTCCTCTCCAGTTTTTAACACCCATCAATACGAAATGAGATCTCATTGTAGGTTGTTACCACAACATTGAGGACATCGGTTGGTGATGGTTTGAACGATTGATGGCGGTACGCGTTGAAGTGTGTAGAATGGGACCATACATTAAAATAAATGCAAATTTGTTAAAATTATATGAGAAGTTCGTTCTTAATATAAAAAAAAATATCTGGACAGAACGTACAATTAAACACAGTAGCTCAGCAAGTCTCCGTAGTTATTTTGAAAAAGAATTTTGTGATTAATTACTAAATTATTATAAGTGAGTTATAAAACATACTCAGACCCCACAGTCTTGGATTACGGCGACTTAGCACGTC